AATCATCAATTCTTCGAACATCATGGGGGGGGCTGCCGCCCCCCCCCCAGCCCCCCCGCTAGTTTGTAGACTTGATTTAATTGCATCCCTATTCGAATCATCACTTCTGCGACCATCATGGGGGGGGGGGGCCCAACCCTCCGTTTTTTTGTTTTACTGGGATTGAAACACCCTCCTGTTTGAATCATCATTTTTTGACCCCACAATTTGTTGGTGATGCTAGGGATGTTGGTCGGACATGCGGGGGATGTTGAAAACGATGCTGGGGATGTTGGCGGGCTAGTGTAATGCGTCAATTTCGGCAGAAAATGCTGTAAAATACGACATTTTACTGGCCCGGACGAAAAAAACAACAACACAAAAATCCCAAAATAAATCCGCACCCTTGTCTTACTGGGGCGGGTCTTGGGAAGGTTTGGGGTTGATTTGGGCGAAGCGAAGGGCTGACATCCAGGCTTCTGTTGGGCGGGTTTAGGGTTGACATTGACTGGGTTTTGGTTGGTTTGGAGCTGATTTGTGTTTGGTGCGCTGCTGGTTTAGCAGTCGCTTTAGGGTTGCTCTAGGTGTTGCTAAGTGAGTTTTGGTCTGGTTTAGGATCCGTTTTGGGGTGTTGCCCCAAACCACCAAAACTGGCCCACAACTCACTTAACCACACCCTAGAGCAACCCTAAAGCGACTGCTAAACCCGCCGCGCACCAAACACAAATCAGCTCCAAACCAAACCAAAACCCACTCAAAGTCAACCCTAAACCCGCCCAACAGCAGCCTGGATGTCAGCCCTTCGCTTCGCCCAAATCAACCCCAAACCACCCCAAGACCCACCCTCATAGCCAAATCCCACTGCCACCAATAGGCAATCCCAGGTCCAAGTAATGCTGGTGATGCTGGGGATGTTGCCAGCCCTGCAGAAAACCAGCCCAGGAAACACCAGCCCTACTCGTAGTTTTGCGGTGCAGGGGGAGCAAATCAGCAGCCATTCCCCAAGCAAACACGCCTTCAAATGTAACCAGAGACGCCCTTGTTGCTCGAAGGGTGCAGGACAGACCTGTTAAGGGCATCAGGTCTCTGCTGTGCGTCGTTTTGAGGGCACCCTTTTTGGGGTTGGTTTAAGGGGACACCAAAAGGAAATCCACAACCCTCCCTATCTCGACACATATCCAACTGGGTTGGCAGGCAAAGAACTCCGAGCAGTGGGTGGCCCAGAAGGACGCGGAGAACGAGCGGGACAAGGCGAAGCCAAGCGGTGGATGCTGGTGGGGATGGAGTGGGGATAGAGTGGGTGTAAGGGTGAGGGAAACCCACAAAAAGCAGTTGAAACTGTGTTTTTTACATGTCTAAGTGTCTTGGCCCAACACTGGGTGGCGGTGGTGGAGCGCGTTCCCTCCCAGATAGATGAGCTTCTCAGCTGGCGCTTATTTGAACCGCTCCCACGGCACTGGTTTAACGCTTTTCCTTGCCGACCCATTTGTGACCACCTTAAGCAACCCGAATCAACTCTGAATCAGAGCTAAAAGGTGATGCTGCTAATGCGGGCTTACTGTGATGGACTAGCACCAAACTGGACCAAAGGATGCGGTCATACAACGTGTCAACCATTGCGTAATGATATCGTATGTAATACATACATGTATATATTTATAATATATTACATATATATATATATATTTATATATAGTATGTATGTGTATGTACAATAGATGTTGGCCCTCGGCCACTTGGGCCCAACTGGTTTCGGCGATCGCTCACCGGTGCCCTTTCCCAAAGGCGCTTCTGGATCTGAAGAAGGTCAAGGACGAGGCCGAAGCAGCGCAGATCAAGGCGGAGAGCCAGGCGTGCACCGGGACATGGTCTTGTGAGAAACCAGCAGGCATTCGACGGGCCAAATCCCCTGAGTTGGGCATTTGGAATCCTAAACTTCCTGAATTGCGTGCATTTTGTTTTAACATTCCTTTGAAATTCGATGGTTGGTTGCTCCTGTTCTTTTGTTCTTTTCGGTTGTGCCCATGTCGATGTGTCTGAACTGTTGGCGAGTTTGCGCAGGTGAAGTCTGCGAAGAAAGAGATCGAGGCCCTCCGTGCCGAGCTCAAGGAACTGCAGGCGGGGGGTTGTTGGGTTGTTGGACATGACGTGGTACATCCCAAGTTAGTTGTCGGGTTTTCCCTTGAAAGACTTGCCACTTTTGGGGGGGTTTGGAAGTTTCCCATGTTGCCACTCTGAGTGAGTGGCCAAGGAAGCCAGTTTGGGAATAACGAGGCGCTGAAAGGTAGTCACAAGTCACAAGCCTCAAAGAATGATTTGGATAGTTTTGCAAATCAAACATGACGGAAGTTTAAAACCAGGCAGAAGGATAAAGACGATTTGGCCACCCAGTCCGTTTCGGAGCGTCAAAATCAGGATCATACTGAAAGAATCCAACAAGGGGGGGCCGATCCTCCGCTTGTTTTGACCCAGACACTGTGGTTTCACCTCAAGGCCCTTCTCTGCGGCCCCACACCCCATCCTGCGATAAAGCTCAAGGGAATCCTGGCCGAGTTTGGATTTGGGTGTTTGCTACCAGTGACGAGCCCCCCTTTGTTGTGGCCGCGATTCACCGGGTCTCCCACGTTGACCTTGCACCGGCCTTGGGCCAGCCTTGTTTCTTTCGCTACACTTGGCAGTTTTGGGATTCCTTCTTTCAAGCAAAGGGACAGGTTTTTCCAACCCTCAACCTGGTAATTTGCCTCCATGTTTCCACTAGTCTTGGGGTCAGCAAGGAAAATGGGTCAACCAAAATGAGTGGTCCCCCCAGCCCGGAACTCCCCTGACGATTTGGACCCGCACCAGGCAAAGAAGAAGGCTGTCAAGGCATTCCGGGCATGGGAGGGGCTGGACGGGGTAGAGCCTCGGAGGCGTTTTGCCCCAGATGGCTGAAAGCTTAAAGGGGTTTTAAAAGAGGGCAAGGCTGTGAGCACAGGCCAGGTTGGCGCTGTTTGGGGTGCGCTTGGCTGTTTTGCGATGTGGTGTCAGGTGCCGTTTGGCGTGCTCAAGGTGCGGTGGCAGTTGCTGGTGTTGCTTGGTTGGCGATGCAGTGAGGCTGCCGTTTGGTATGCTGGTTGCTGGCAAGGCTTACTGAACGATGCAGGTAGGGTGCTGGGTGCTGGCGAGCGTGCTGGTCAGGGTGCTGTTGCGTGTGCTGGTCAAAGCGTGTTTTCGGGTGCTCAAGGCGCTGTGGGGGTTGCTGGCGGCTTCTGCTTGGCTGAGTGCTTGTTTGGCGGTTTTGGGTGCTGGTCAGGACTGTTGTAATCTCCCATGCTATCTGGGGTCTATGCTGGTGTATGTTTTTCTTGTTTTGTTTTTTGTTTTCCCCCCCCCCCCCCCGATTCAGGCGGTAAAGCGGATCTTCTTCCTTTCGTGAAGATCACAAGAGTTCTTTTTGGCATCTTCGCCTGGGACGTTGACCCCAAAGGCCATCATTTTCATGGCTCATCCATCTCAAAGTTGCTACCATTTGCCTCAGACCTTGCCTGGATGATGGAAATCCCGTTAGGAAAGGATTGGCAGACAACTGGCGTCTTCGGATCCGTTCGGGTTTTCAACATCACCTTGGCCAATGTAGACGTGAGTGTCCTTTCGTCGGTCAAAACTGGCTATATGGGGGTTGCTTGCACAAAGTGGGAGACTCGTGCAGGCCTGAGATGTGGACCACTCAGCGCGCCGGGCTTGGAGCTGTGGCTTCGCCCTTTCTGACAAATTCACTGGCCATTCGTTCGGAGAAGGACCCGGTCCCATTTTGCCTGGCCACGGCCAAAGTTGGGACTTTCCAGGTGTGCCACCCCGGGAAACTTGCATCAAGGGCTTCCCTTGATGTCACACTCTCAAGGTGTTCCTTCATTTTGAGGCCCTATCGCTAGGTTTTGGACCCGGGCTGTCCTGTTCAAGCGTCCTTATCGAGCAAATAAACCTTCAAAAGTGTAGGATTCCTTTTTTTAGTACACATCTTGTGCCACGTGGCACAAGGGCAGCCGATCTAGCGCTGGCCTGCCAAAAAGCAGGGTCGAAGCTAACAAGGTCTCTAATGTTGACAGTTCGCACTTTCCATTTGCTGTCATTGTTCAGCACTTTACCCGATCCTATGTAAATGGGGCACAGCCCATGATTTACTGTGCATTAATGGCGAACGCGACGGAGTACACTCAACCAATATGCAACAAAGGGGACTCGTTCTTTTTCGTGTGTATGTATGTATGGGTGGGTGGGATGGGGTGGGCTTGGGGGGGGAAGGAAGTGCAAAAGCCTGCCGGTACCTGGGCAAGTTGGAGTTGCATATTGCATGTATCCTGATTTGCACAGAGTGCATTCTTCCAAGCATCTTCAGAATGGAAGGTGGCTGAATGATCGGCACATCCCAGGCGCGTTTCCATCCTGAGTGGCTGGGCGGGCATGACAGTGCGCACAGCTTGAAGCTAAATCGCAGGCAGCACATGCCTGGCCCTCCGTTCCCAGACATGCTCTCAGAAAGCGAGCTGCTCATGCTATTCCCTTCTACCTGTTGCAAAAACAGATCCAGCTTGTGGCGTGGTTATGGATTCAATTTGGTACATCCCCGGTTCTCTGTTCAAACCTTGCCCAGCGGGTATCTCAACTCTATGCACAACAGCCCTCCCGTCGGAGCAAGCGGTTTCTTGCTGTCAACCGAAAATCTGGGAGCGGAGAGTTCTCCTTAGTCACACTTTTATCAAGACATTTCAGTCATTTCAGTAATGCTTGCACGAAAAAGGGCGCGGAAGCAGGGAATGAGTCGACCGTGCTCTGCCATAGCGAGGGGCTGAGTAGCTGGAATGAATCATACTGCTAAGGGTGTGGTCTGTTGGTTGGGCCGGGGGGAGCTTTTGTTGTTGTGTGGAGGTTATGTTGCAGCTTGCCACACCCTAAAACATCATATCACCCCACAGAAGGTGGCTTGCAAAGGCGCATGTCCACCATACCAGGGGTTAGGTCGGGCGAAGACGCGGGGCTGCGAGGTTTCCTTCATCTACTACATGACGGATCCGGAGGAGGACTGTGCTTTGCTCCCTGCTGCCCAACATGCCAGTCTCGTTCCCCACGTGAAAAAAGTGCAGGCAACCGGCCACTTTAGGCAATGTTTGCAGATGGGGCGGCGAGCGCATGCCCGCAGCTAGACGGCTCCAGCAGCCACAACACGAACTCATTTCACTGCCTTCATGCTGGTTTCTGCGGTCCAACTCTTTTTGCCACATGTTTCAATGAGTTCATGTCTGAACACTGCCGGCTTGAACATGTTTGAACAGGCGCGGCCAACTCCGCTTTGGTGGCCATCATGTGTTGAGAACGAGCAATGGGATGCTCAGATGCCAAGTTTAGAGCAAGCCCTGGCTGTCGCGTTGAACTTTGAACCTGCGGACTCGCCTGGCACAAAGTGGCCATGGGCAAGCGCCGGCTACGCCCTGTGCAGATCACCAGGCGAGTTCTTCCGTGGTCATTGAGTGACAGGCTTCAGGCTTTTGGGTTGCCATTGCAGACTTGACAAGCTTGAGGCGATATTCAGTGGGGGACTTTGATGTCTTGGTCAAGTGCGACTTGGACTTGCCCCACCCAAACCCCGAAGCCCCAACCCCTAAGCCCTAGGCTTATGCACCAAAAACATTAAATGCGAAACCCTAAGCACCAACCCATACCTAAAAACACTTAAGGAAACGGAAGCTTACACGTAGAACCCTGCATTGGAACCTGAGCCCTAAACCAAAACCGAAGGCCTACCCTAAACCTACACCCGGCCTGGGAACCCTAAGCCACACTGGACCAGACACTCCGGATCCCGTGCACCTTCGCGCCGGAAGCGCGTGCACTTGACGGGTTCGGCACGACTGGACGGACCAACCAAATTGAGTAGACCGGCCTCACTCCGTCGCTTGCTCACGTTTGCCAGGGGCAGCTTGCCACAAGGATGCTTGGACATGCCGACTGGAGATGGTCTTTTTCCAACAGGACTGGAGGGGACTCTGATCCACGATTCGAAGTGAAGATCCGCCGAAACGGGACAGTTTCTCTGCGTCAAGATTCGGGGCGGACACGAACACCATTGGCAGGCCATCTTGAAATAAGATTAGGGCAAGGGTGACAAGGAATTCCATGGTTTGTGGAGACTTGATACATGGAAGTGGGACCCCGCCCCTCTCTAAGGCAAGGGCTATACTGGCGGATCTGTGGATGTCAAGACATGAGGAAGAGGAGTTAAGCAAGTCACCTGTGTGCAGGAACCACACTGCAACGAACCGAGCTGCTGGCCTTAAATTGAAGCTTTCATCCTTCACTCGGACTCCGCTGGTGTTTCCGAACACATGCTTGAGCCTGAAAGACTATCCGACTTCTTCATTTTGAGGCCGAGCCACACATTTGTTTGTCTGAAATTTAGACCCCAAATTGGTTGGGCTCCTTTCGCTTCCGCCTTTTTGAGCCCAAAAGGGAAAGTCCTCATAGACTCAGAGCCGAAGCCGAGGTTCGTCTACCGGAGCCTTCGGCCGGAGCCGCCGGCCGGGTGCCACGCCGGCTCCGCAGCCGTGCAGAGCAAGGCGCGCTTCGAGAGACGCGCGGGAAACGGGGCGCGCCACCCGCCGCAGATTTGTGGCACTTTTGCAGCCTCTTTCAGCGGTCTGGCAAGCTCTTGCGGTTCCGATGGCTCTGAAAGAGACTGGTGGATTGCTTATGGCCAGGCATCCACACCCTGAGTCATTTCACCGCTAGCACGTGGCCGTCAGTTGCAGCCCAAGTTCACCCTCTTCGACTGGCAAACAGCGCAGTCCGCGAAGGCAGACGGGGCGGGGGGCAAAGTGGGTGTCCCTGTTGGCTTCGAAGCCAGCAGCATTTTGAGACACAGCCATTTGTTGCCGGACTCTAAGTGGCAAGGAGCTGCCAAGCTCATAATTACCCCCCCCCCCGAACCGTGCCATGGTACGGTGGACCCTATCGACCAAAAAAGAAAATTGCTTTTTGTGGTTGTTGGGGATGGTCAGAAGCGCACTTTTTCAGGATGGGACTTTTATTGGCACCACGAGCATGTAAGCCTTTGTCAAAGCACAAGGGGTCGCAAGCAGTGCAGGATGGTCATCAAGCCAATGATTTTGCGACGCTTTCGCCGATGATTCTTGTCAAGGTGGGTCCGTTGGCCACCGCCTCAGATCCCTTGCCCATCGATGAAAGTTGACAGGGAGGTCATGGTCTCGTGCGGGCTCATGTTCATTTGCAGGTCACTTGTTCTCCATGGATTCGCTGGGGATTCGACTGGGGGGAAGCCCAACCAGGAGCCTCCGCCCTCGGCCGAGAGTAGCACCAGCGCGGCGACCGCGTCGGCCGCGTCGGCCGCGTCGAGCGCGTCGAGCGCGGCTACGGGCAGCACGGCGCTGCGCTCTGTGGGCGCGCAGGTGCCGGTGAAAGGTTGGCTCAAAGCGAATCTCCTTTTCAATGGGAACCTGCCCATGTCGTCTTGAAGGTTTGTTGCATGCCCAAATGGGCGCTTTCTAAATCGGGGAGCCCTAAACGCGGCAGCAGTCCCTTCAAAAGCCGAGACTACTGTTGCCATTGGATGCCAGCTTTCCAGGTCAGCTAGGGGAGCTGCCCTTGAGCCCTTTGGTTCCGGAGAACAGCCATGGGGTTTGGGATGCCATGGCCCAATTCGGTCGACCGACCGCCCGCCATCCCATTCGTTTCAGCGTCTGGCCAGGTGCTCCGCACACCCAGGTTGGCGAGCACCGGGCACGTGGATGCGCCGACTCCGGATGGGCGCGCGCATGCGGGCTCCGGGGTACGCCTGAGGTAGATAGGGAAGAGCCATGGCATCTACATCAAAACTGTTAGTGTGCGGGCAGAGTGAGCAAATTGCCTAAGGAACTATGTGCGAAATGTCAAGCCCAAGCGTGCGTCTTTTGTGCTTGGCTCACCTTCAAAGCGGAATGCGAAAACGTAATCCGCGCAGTCCTGCCGTGAACTGAAGCGGCGAGATGCAAATTGAGAGAAAAGGCGTGCTGAGGGCTTTTGCAGCCTACGGGAGCTTCTCGAGACCGGGAGCTTGGAAACGCAGCCTCTGTTTTCGGCTTTGCAAACCGTAGCTTGTGGAGCGGTGTTGCTAGACAGCTGACGTGTAGTGCACTTGTGCAGTACGATCGGAAACGAGAACCACAGATTGATAGCTAGTTTTGGCAGAATTTTAGCCTTTCTTGCGAAGCCACATATCTCTTCCGCAAAAGGGCAAAGTCACATTAGTTTTACAATGGCGCATTTCTTGGCTGTTTGATCAGGTTTTAGTCTATATGCGCCATGGTCAAAAGACCCGTTGATGGGTTGGTACAGATGATCATAAACCCGTCAGAACGGATTTGAGACAGCAAATTTGAGGGTTCCCATTCAGAACCATGGTCACGGCCTATATCAGGAGTTTTGACACGGCTCGCATATTAAATGGGCACATATACTGAACCCTGAAGGTCCGAACACTTAGCAGCATCAGTTGGGTCTGTCTCAGAATAGAAGAATCCAAACACGAGAGGTTTCCTTTTGGTTTCTGTTTTGTGCCAGCCCAACAACCAAGGCTCATTTTCCCTTGGGTGGTTTGCAGGAACTGGACCCCTCGACATGGAGGACGACGGCCCTATTGGAACACTTGTCTATATTTCCCTTACGGTGAACCATGTGGTTTGAACCTCAAACATCCATACAGCTGGAGCTCAACTTTCCCTCGAGTGGTTTGCAGGACCACCCTAAGCCTCCCTTTGGCTGGAACTTGCTCTTGTTTAACCCGTGCAGTGAACCATGTCTACTTCCACTTTTGTACCCCGTGTGTGTGTGTGTGTGTGTGTGTGTGTGTGTGTGTGTGTGTGTGTGTGTGTGTGTGTGTGTGTGTGTGTGTGTGTGTGTGTGTGTGTGTGTGTGTGTGTGTGTCTGCGTGTCTGTGTGTCTGTGTGTCTGTGTTTCTGTATTTCTGTGTTTCTGTATTTCTGTGTTTCTGGGTTGAGTGGGATGGTTGCGAGGATTCACAGCCAAGGAACTCAACGTCCGGCAATCGAATGAATGGTCTGTTTTCATGGACCACTGGAGTCTGTTGCCTGCGAGGAGTGGTCCAGCGCCGAAGGTGGCGCCCTGGAGCTGTACCCGCACGGTGCTCGGTACCGGGGGGATCGGGGATCGTGAGGGGGGGGGCCCTGCCAATGGGCATGAAGGAAAGGCCAGTGTCACCTAAGTGGACAGTTCCCATAGTCCATGCCAAACGGGCTTTTTGGGGAGCCAGCTCTTTTTCAACTTTGTTTTTGGGCGACGGACTTTAGACTTGGGTGCCATGTGATGGCGTGTGGCCCGGTCTGAGGATGGGGGCCTCTCTTTGTTCTTTTGCCCAAAACCGGAAGCAATTAGAAGAGTCGCAGGGCTTTCCACTTAAGTTCTCAGGGCCTTGAGAAGGCCGATTTGCCTGGGGTGGAAAGTGGTAGCTCAAAAGTCGCGTTAGGTTGTCCCTCGGGCCTCAAAGCTTCGGATGGAAGACTTGGACGGCATTAGGCCATGTCCCTAGGATTCTTCGGCCGGGTCCCTCAAATTCATTTGGAACTTGGCAAGATTGCTCGCATTGGGCAATTCAGTCACTGATCCCATGTTTCCACCCGGTTTGTGGACAATGGATGCGAGAGCGTCAAACACGGGGGTTGTTCAATCATGTTCCCGGAAGCTGAGAACAGACAAGTACCTCTGCATTTCAGGTCGGAGCCCTCAGGCGAGAGGATTCGTTCGGTGCAGTGTCGGCCCAGTGTCATTCAAAAACGCAAGGTAAAAGAGAGCCTTAGCCTCACCCCATCTCACCCGTCCCCCCCCAAAAAAACCCAAAAAAACAAACAAACAAAAAACAAAACCAAACAAAACGCAGCAACACACTGTCTAGTTTTTTTTGCCATCCAACAAGACTCTAAGGCCTGATGAATTGCTTTTGTTGGAGGCGTCAGCGGGAGGTACTGTAGGGCCGGGAAGGGGATCCCACCGCATGTCCCTATGAGGTCAAAGCACAAAGATCCTCTTTTCGGCCATCTCAAGGTACACGGAAGCTTTCATGTGGACCCTTCCAAGGGTTTTCGTTGCTTTTCTTTTTTCTTTTCTAGGAGCAGGTGTTGAGTTCGACATCTTAAACAGTTGAGTTGCTAAAGTCATTGGGTTTCTGTGCTTCTGGGTTGAGCAACTTGCGCGCGATTCCCACTGTCCCCACTGGGAACGGGCTCTAGGTAATCGGCCCTGGAAGATGGTTGAGCTGAACTCCAGTCTGACTTTGTGAAACGACCCAGGAGGTGTAGCTGAATGCCAATTTCAGATCACACCCCGCAGTGTGTGTGTGTGTGTGTTGTGTCTCCACTTGTTAGAATGGCTCCATGACTTTTTGGGGGGCCCATCCCCCAAGTTTGCCAGCTTTTCTCTTGAACAAAAAAGCTGGCTTCCGCAGCCGGTGGGGCTCGCAGATATTGTCGTGGCCCGCCAGCCTTTTGAATGCAATGGAAAAGCCGAAGCTACAAACTTTCTTTCTGCAGCGCGGGAGCAAGCCGAGTAAGCAGTGCCAGGACATCACTGGATCTTCCTCAAACCAAACCTGATATAGAGGTTCGACAAAGAACATTTGAGGCCTTTCTGGGAGGGAATTCTCGCCTTTTTACACTCACGGTGTCAAAGAATGCACGCCATGGGCCACTGTCTGAGGTTTTGATTTTGCAAATTTATACGCAGACGCGACACAGCCGGCCACCGGGCACCCTGCCCTGCCTCTTCCAAAAACTGTTCCCTTCTTTATTGCCCTGTATTTCGCTTCATTTCCCTCATGTCCCTTAATTTGCGGTCCTTTCTCTTTAGTTCCCTTCATTGCAACCTCGCTTCCCTATTTCCAGTTTGCTGCACTTCCCTTCATTTCCCTACATGCCCCTGTATTTCCATTTATTTCTCTTCAGTTCCTTCTTTTCCGTTAATTTCGCATTGCGGCCGCAGGATAGGTGCGTACAGTTCAGTCGAAGACACGAAGACACGAAGCTGCACATCTTCACAGCTTCGGCACAAAGACGCGGAGCTGCGCAGCTTCACAGCTTCACAGCTTCAGAAGCTGCGCAGCTTCACAGCTTCAGCCCGAAGACACGAAGATGCTGCGCAGCTTCCCAGCTTCAGCCCGAAGACGCGAAGCTTCAGCCCGAAGACACGAAGCTTCACAGCTTCGCAGCTTCATAGCTTCGCGAAGACCCGAAGCTGCGCAGCGTCAGCTCGAAGACGCGAAGACGCGAAGCTGCGCAGCTTCACAGCTTCACAGCTTCAGCCCGAAGACGCAAAGACACGAAGCTGCGCAGCTTCATCTCTTCAGGATTTTAAAGAGGGTAGCTGGACGGCAACAAGAGAGTCTGCGTTTCATAGTGATGATGAAGAGTTGGAGATGACTGAGATCATGAAGACGGGTACGTTTAGAAGTAAATTCAGATGTAGATAGACTTCAATATATGTAGTAGACAGAAATAGAGCAGTGTAGATCAATGTGTAGCTAGGTAGATAGGAAGACACATGGATAGTGTTAAGACAGGTAGGATGATAAATGGATAGAGTTAAGTCTTGATATACATATATATATATACATATATATATACATATATATATATATATACATATATATATATATATACATACATATATATATATGTACATGTTTCTATTTGCATTGATGTTCTTCGAGGCACGCAGACACGGGTACACATAGATGGATGTAGATAGGTCTAAATTGACGTGGGAAGATCATGAACGGTCGGTAGATAGATAGACAGATGTAGATAAGTATTTGTGTAAATAGATTTTGATACGTACTGGTACGGGTAGCAAGTGTTGCTCTAGATACGTCTTGGTGTAAGCAGATTTGCGAATGTGATAAAGATTGGATGTAGAGGGAGTGTAGAGAGATACGCAGAGATGTAGAAACACAAAAGGTAGAGTTAGATAAAGATAGATGAAGGAAGGCGTAGATAGATGTGGATAAGATGTAGATGTAGATAGAAAGACCGATGTAGATGTAGGTGTAGCTATAAATGAGGTGCAAAGTTAGATTTAGGTGACTTGTGCAGCCGGAAGAGGCGTAAATACATTCATGTGAATGTAGATTATGTAAGTAGGTGTATAATTATATAACTGGGTTACATAGGCAGATAGACACATAGGAAGATAGATGGATGAAGTCTTGATAGGTTTACATCGATATGGATAGATGTTGAACAGTAGGTAGATCGGCAAATGTAGACAAGTGTTGGTACAGATGTAGCTGCAAATGTAGCTGCAGAGAAGGTTTTAGGTGTCGTGTGTACGCAGATAAGCGAAGTTGTACATCTACATTGATATGGATACATGATGAACAGTAGGTAGATAGATAGACAGATGAGGTAAGTAGTGGTGTAGATGTAGCTATGCATGTAGCTGCAAATATGGGTTTTGGCGACAAGTGTAGACAGATATAGGCATAAAAGATAGATGGATAGATTTAAGTCTTGATATTCAGATATACGTTTATATTTGCATTGGTGTTCTTCGAGATAGGGGTACACATAGATGGATATAGATAGGTTTACATTGGCTTGGGTAGATCTTGAACAGTCGGTAGATAGCTAAAAGTATTTGTATAGATAGATTTAGACGCATACTGATACGGGTAGCAGGTGTTGCCCTAGATGCAGTGTTGACATGTGTGCAACGAATATAGGAATAATAATACAATATTATGTAATATGCGAATATCAAACTATAAGAATGTAAGACTAGAAAAGGACAGTATTTTACGACAACCATTCCCGTACGCTCCCCTCTTTGGGCGAGGGGTCGGCGGATTTAAGCCCAACCCCACAAACCCTGCAATCATAGAAAAACCAGAGAGCAATGGAAAACAGGCATGCTCTGCACCACGTGTGCCTACAACTTGAAACGGCTCATTTTCCCGCTTCTGCAGTCCTGTCAGGACTCTCAGGCAGCGAGCCAACCGCGGAGCTCTGAAGCGAGCCAACCGCGGAGTTCTGAAACCAGCCAACCGCGAAGTTCTGAAACGCAGTTTGCCGCGCGGAGGTCTGATTCGCAGGTTTCCGCGTGGAGGTCCCGCGCGAGTACATCGCGCGAAAGATCGGGCGCATCACGTGAAAGAGCGAGCAGCCAGAGGCAGGGCTGTCCAAGGCGAAATGGCGAAATGGAAGCGAAAGAGCAATGGGCCAAGATTCCCCGTGTTATCCATTATATTGAAACCCTTCAAAGAGAAGTGGTGCACGCGGAGAAGCCAAGCTTCCTCCGTTTGAGTCGGAGGCACCAGTGTATTTAGGACACATCTCCTCTGGTTCGCATATGCCTGTTCAAGCCACTTAACCGTTTGAAAGAATGATAGTGTCACACACCCATTTGGTCGGTTGCTTCTGGCGTACTTCGTAGTCAGGGCGGAGCACCCACATGGCGCCCTTGCGACATGAAGCACATGCTTCTGGAACATGTTGCGGACCGCAAGTTTCGGGCAAAGGACACAATTTTCGGCGTGTGAGGGTTGGGTTTGCGGGCAGGGCAAGACTCTTGAGACCTTCAGGGTCGGAGAGGCGCTCTTTGTCTAGTTCGGGGAGGCGGGCGAGTCCAAAGTCTGTTGTGAGACCTTTTCGGGTGGGGGGAGCATTGCTGGTGTTGGGCGTTTTCCTCACATGGTAGTGAGGTCATTTTGATTATTTCTGGTGTTTTCAGAGTCAAAAAAACTGGGTTGGTTTCTCTTTAGTCTAGTTGTTGGGGGGTGACTTTGATACTGGAAAAATACTGGCTCCGGTGGTATGCCGTTTTGTTGGGACGGCCATTTGTTCGTTTGGAAGACCAACTCTCAAGTTAGCAGTTCGTTCAGCCTTCGCGACTGGCGGTGCGGCCCTCGCGTCTGCGAACCGTCATGCCAGAACTTGGTGCAGGTTCCGCCGTGGTTATGTCGATCAGCGTCTCTTGAAATTGGTAACTCCCTGTGGTTTATCTTTGGCTCTTCTTGAGCCAGCGAGCATCTAGGGGAGGTTTGTGACCAATTCTTGTGGTTGCGTTGAACTCGTGCCGTTCTCAAAGTCAGCATCGGTCAGACGCAAGGTCAGACATAAGGTCAGACACAAATCTGTCTGGCCTCAGACGCGGACCTCACGACGAGTTTGAGAGGTCTTCGCCCTGGTTGGTGAACGTCGTGTTACCCGAGGAGCTGAGTTCAGCATCGGGGAGACGCCAGAGCTGCAAGATAGCCTGGCGCTGTTCATCATCGGCCTGGCAAATCAAGTCGCGAGTCCCGATGGAGGAATCGCAAGGTGTGCGCGGCGCGCACACACTGCACGCCGTGCAGGATGTAGGAGTCAACAAATCCCAGGGTGCGTTGGCAGAACGCTGGATGGCGGATGCTCTCCGAGCTGCAAAGGACGTCGAGGTGGATGCTGGAACGGTGATTCGCAAAGGCCCGATTAGTCTCTTGTCAGCTCTTTGCACCTTTAATCTTGATCATTGTTCTATGGCAATTCAGTGATTTCCTAGGTGTCGCTTGCGTCTTGTTTTTGCACAGGGGGGAGCCCCAGGTTTGCTCGAAGCGTTCGCAGAGCCGTCCGAGCCCGCGCCCGAGCCCTGCACCAGTGTACACGAGGCTGGGATTGTGAAGTTCGCAAGTAAGGCAACCCTTGAAGCGTTTTTGTTGGGCGGTCCCCCTTCAACACCAGAAACGGGCGATTCACCATTTTGACACACCCGCACCGCCCCCTCTCCGAAAATTGACCACCACCAAAAAGGGATCCAATCCAAAAGGAGGCCCCTGCAATTTTCGAGGTTATTTGTTCCGGCGAGCGGCTTTTTTTTGTTCCCCCCACGCCCAACTCTGGAGGTTTGTGCAGGCTCTCAAGACAAAGAGTACGTCAGGCTATTGGGAAGCCTATTGGAGCCGCAAGAGGATGATGTGCCTGACTCTTTGTTCTTCCGCAGGTTCCAGTGGCAGTGAAGGCCAGATTGACATCCACTGCGCATTGGATGACATGCCGGAAGCCAAAGAGGGACCTAGAGTGGATGGTTCCCACATCGTACCGTTCATACCCATATTTTCTTGTTTCGCCAAAATCTGCAACATGAATTACCCAGCAACGGAATGTGTTCCTTGGCCGCAGCTGCCAAGAGTCACTACCTTTCTGAACTTCTTCTAAGCGTGTGTTGGAATATCCCAAACAAACTAGATGACAGGCGGCCCGGAAGCATAGAAACACTTCAATTGCGAGCAGGTCCTTTGCTCACAACTATGCAGATGTAGTTTGGAGTGACGTGAAGTGAACTGGTCGATTTCTGCACATTTAATTAGGGATTGTGTGATACTCCATAGTTGCCATGTTTGACAAGGAGCTGGCGCAGAGTACTTCGCATCCTACTTCTACGCTAAAACGTTGTGGTGCGAGCTGCGCGGAAGCACACTTCGAGTAGTACTTGTGTAGCTAAAGGCTGTCTGCGATTTCCAAGCTCGACGTTCGAGCTGCTGCTGCGAAGGCTCCTTCGCGTACTCCTTTCGAGCTCAAGAAACGCACTTTCCAAGCTCCGCACTTCGCATGCGATTTTTGTGGTTGAAAGCTGCGCGATTCGAGCCGCAGCTGGAAAGGTGTACTTGGCTTACTACTTTCATACTTAAAGGTCGGCTTTACTCGGCTTCGCTCGACAAAAACACAAGCAACAACAGAGCAGACACATGTCAGCGGAGTGGGTTGTTCACTCTGGTGTTGTCCGGCTTGACCCCAGCTGCTGAAGTGAGTACGCATTGCGAAGCAACTTTGCATGTGTGAAAGTTGCGAACTTTGTGCAGTTATTTGCTCGCTATTCAAGCTGCAACAGCAACAGTATACGCCGCGTGCTGCTTTCACGCTTCAACTGCGGGAGCGCGCTCTGCGTGCTACTTTTGTGCTTGAACTTTGCCGGAAGAGCGTACTTCGCGTTCTACTTTCGTGCTGAAAATAGAAGTAAGTTGCACTTTTCGAGGCGCTGCTGGCAAAGTACTCGGCGTGCTACTTTCGCACGTAAAAGTTGCAACTTTCAATTTGCAGCTTTTTCGCCTGCAGCTTTCGTACTTAAAGCAGTTATTTTTGACCCGCAGCTGGAAAAGCGTCTTGGCTTGCTGTTTTCGTACTTGGCAGCTGCGATTTTCGAGCCGGAGCCTCTTCGCAAATCCGCACGGCGCCACAGCGAGAGCACTTCGTGTGTCGGGCTTGCAAATTCACACGGCGCCAAAGCGAGAGCGCTTCGACGCACGAGTTTCCCGAGCTCAAGACACATTCGCGCGACGCCGCAGCGAGAGCATTGCGAGAGCGCGACACGCGCGACCTCCGCAGAGGGGTGCGTGTTGATAGCTCCCGTTGGGCCTACTCGCCGCAAACAGAAGAAGAACTAAGACTCAAGAGAGAGCGGAAAGACAAGTTAGCGTCTATTTTTGGGTAGCTAGCGATTGTTTGCTGATGTGTTTCGGGTACTAATGTTGGCTAAGTTACCTGGCAGCTTTTTGCTTGTGTAGCTGGGACACTGGTGTTCGCTTGTGTTTTAGACAAGTTGGCAGGAGAAGTTGGCAGGTGAAGCTTGCAGCCGTTTTGGAAGAAGAACCCTTCGTTAGGCACAAAGAGAAAGAACCACTAAAGAAAGCACACCGGGCATATTTCTGACACCTTGGGTCCCGTTGGCGCCAGTCATGCCCTTTGCGCTTGGAGTGATCCAGACTTGTTGCTGCAATCAGCAATTGGACCAGATGCTGCTTGCAGCAGTACGGGCTTATTGGCCTAATGGCCAGTTGTCTGCTTCGACTGATTTCCGCTCTTCAGTTGCCAGGGAATTAGAAGCGTTCCCTGTTAAGGGCTGGTGTTGTGAGGACGCTGCCGCCGCAGGTGTAACAATCTGCAGCGAGAAAGCTGCGCGTAGCTGATGCATGAGCCCTCTCCAATTGCAAGAGAAGAACCACGGCAACTCTGGGACTCCGTTTGTCTTTCCGGCTTCCATGATGAAACAACCGAAGCCGATGCAAACTGACATCCCCAACAGAGTGGCGCCCCACATCATGTTTGATAGCTGCAGCCACTTGTCCAATTGCAGAGCTCTTGATTTTCGACTAGTTGAATTAGCTTTTGGGATGGCCCGTGGCAAGCCACAACGAAGCTTTTCTTGCTTGTCCAGTTCCACTTCTCAGCAGATGATTGACCTTCGCACAATCCATGACATGTTCCAAAGCTCTCGGCAGGTGGGCCTGGGAGTGTGCCAACCAAGTGTGGGCCTGTCAGAAGCGAGACAGGGGGTTGGGGGTCACTCCAAGAATGGAGGGATTCCACTTGTCAACCTTGGAAAGGAAAACGGCAAGGAGGGGTGGAAGTTAACATGTCTGTTGGAGTTGTTGGCCTTTCTGAGGGAGCTGCTGCCATTGTCTGACTCCCTGGCCTTGTTCCTGGTGGAGACAGCGCCTCAGGTTTTGCTTGTTCGTAGGCACGATCAACCCACAGGGAGAAGGGGCTTGGTTTGGGCTTGGTAGAAGTGACGTGCTGAAATCCCCACTTTTCGTCCTTTTCGGGAGCCGGTTTCTGAGATTCCTGGGCAAAGCATCCTTCGTTGTCCTTTTTCCTTGGCAAACTTCAAGCCTTGCCAAAATCGAACATTGTTTCGTTTTAAAACTGCAGGGCGCCCTTTTGGAAAAAGAAAGAACGGAGACACCGCTGAGCTCGACGACCAGAGCGCCTTGGCTCGGCGCGAGGCCCGGGGTGTCCTTCCACGCGGTCCGGGAGGCCTGCGGTCGAGGCTTTGCTTGGGGTTCAGACCTCGAATTTCTCTTAAAGTTCATTTCTTGTCAGGTTTTCTCATGGCTGGTTTTCTCTTGGTTTGTTTCTCTTGGCTGGCTTTCTCTTGGCTGGCTTTCTCTTGGCTGGCTTTCTGTTCGTTGCTTTCCGTTGGCTGCCCCTGCCTGGTTTGCTCGTGGCTGGTTTTCTTTTGCTTGGCTTCCTCTCGGTTAGTTTCTGTTGGCCCTCATTTTTTTCTTGGTTGGTTTCCGCTTGGTTGGTCCCTCTTGGTTGGTTTTCTCTTGGTCTGTTTTCTCTTGACTGGTCTAGTCTTGGTTGGCTTCTTCTTGGTTGGTCTCCTCCTGGTCCCCTCTTGAATTTTGTTTCCTTTCGTCTGTGTTGGATTATTCTTGAAGCATATGAACAGTCCCATTGTATGCTGCTCTGCTCACTTGGCGTGACTCCGTGCTTTTCATGTCATGTTGTTGCCAGGCTGGGCGCGCTTGCAGATGGCTAAAGGGCAACTGCTAGAAGCAACGCGCGCATTGCCTAAAGAGAACGCGAATGTCACAACATACCAGGATGAATGAGCTTTTCCTCGCGAACCGAAGTGACATCCTCCTGCGAGAGAAAACTCTTGGCTTACAGAGGTAAGGGACAATTCTTGGTGGATTCGGCGCAGCGCTTTCGCCCTGCCAGTGGGGAGTGACTGGCTTCTTCTAATTTTTTGAACCTCGGCAACATAGGTAACACAGACAGGAGCAATAGGAAGGGTCTCCTTCTTTCCCTTAAGCCATGCCTGGGTTGAAGCCTGGCAAACCTAGCGACCCCTACGGAGCTCTTGCGCAGGCGAAGAATATGTGCGCGTATTCCTGCAAAGGCTTTGAACCAGAAGGACTAGAAGAAGAGGAAGAAGAAGAAGAAGAGAAGAAGAGAAGAAGAGAAGAAGAGAAGAAGAGAAGAAGAGAAGAAGAAGCAGAAGAAGAGGAAGAAAAAACAATATTACGACTAAGAAGAAAGAAGAAGCTTGGCGCGGCCGGCGCGGACGTGCGTGCTTTTATGTGCTTCTCGCGACATTAGTTTGCGTGGTTGGCGTGGCATGCTGGCACGATCAGGTCGTGATTTCATTGCAAGCGCAGCATTTTCGCACGACGCTGTGCAGATTTCGTGGCTAGCGCTCTCGGAAGGTGAGGCGCAGATCTCGTGGCAGGCGCAGCTCTTGCGCAAGGTGAGGTACATATTTTGCGTCGGGTGTCTCGCAGGTTGCGTGGCAGGTGCAGCGCTTTCGCAAGGTCAGGCACTGATGACGTGACACGCGCAGCGCTTTGGCGAGGTCAGGTTCAGACTTCGTGCCAGCCGCCGAACTTTGTGGCAGGCGCACCAGCTTCTCGAGGCCAGGTGCAGACTTTGTGGCAGGCGCAGCGGTTTCGCAAGGTTAGGGACTGTAGGCACAACGCTCTCTCAAGGTCAGGTGCAAGTTTCGGGGCAGGTGCGGCACTTTTGTGAGGTCCTGCGCGGATGCCGTGGCAGATAAACTGATCGATCGATAGGTGGATAGAGGGATAGGCGCGTACAAAGAGGGATAGATCGACGGGTAAGAACATAGAAGCGAGATTAGGTATATAGATAGGTAGATAGATAGATAGATAGACAGGTAGACACACAGAGCTGGGAAAAAGTGAGACTGGGCAGTTAGATAGCCGTTGAAAAAGACAGATGTGATGGCTAGACGTGTTCAGCGACGGCGCCTAACCGCAAAGTTGCCACTGCAGCTGAGGACAGCGGTGGCGAGGTGGCCGCTGGGCCGGCGCCAGCGGCCGTGGCGCCGATATGCAGCGACAAAAGAGATGATGGCGAGGATGATGAGGATTGTCAAGAATGACGGCTGGATGAATGGACGGATGGATGGATGCGCGGATGGATAGATAGACAGAGTGCTTAGACAGAGGTGAGTTGATAGATCGATTGGTAGATAGATCCATCGATGAGTAGATAGCTAGATTGGTGCACGCATGGACAGACCGATGCAGAAAAGTAGATGGGCAGGTAGATAGAGAGAGAAAGAGAGGTAGATACATAGATTTTGACTAGTTAGATAGAAAGATCAGACAGACAATTAAACCGAAAGAATCAAAAAAACAGAGGAATGGATAGGTAGATAGACAGTAGATGGATAGACGGAGAGATAGGGAGACAGATAGGTAGATAGAGTGATAGACGGACAGATGAAGAGACGGAGACAGAGAATGAGAAGGAAAGCCGAAAACGAGAAGACGAAGAGCAAGAAGAGAATTAGAAAGAAGAGGAAAAGAAGAGGGGTGAAGAGGCAGACAAGAAGCAGAAAAGGAAAGAAGAGACAAGTCAATACGAGAAATAGAAAGACAAGGAGAAACAACAAAGAAACACATACTTACAGTTCGCATATGTTTAAAACTTCTGCCCGCCGCTCTCCTGGTACCAAGTCATACTGTCTGCGATTGTTTTCCCTGCACTTAGGAACGGACTTCCGCTCGCAGGCTTTTTGTGTGTGTGTGTGTGTTTTGGATTTCGAAGATTGGGGAAGCGGGGGCTGTGGAGCGAATTCCCCCTCATCCCATTCCCTCCTTCTCTGTCTGCGCCGTTCAGTCAGCCAGTTCTGACTTTGAATTGGGGACACTTCGGTGAATATTATTTTCATGGGGGTTTATGTAGCCACGAAACATGATGGCCACGTGATGCCAATTCACTCGCTGACAAACGCACAGGAAGGGTGGTCGGTTCTTGACGTTGAGGTCAGGGGCGAGCGCGCCCGAGTCTCCCTGCAGGGTTGGCTTCATGCGCCCAGCCCGGGTGCTCGTGCGTGAATTTTTTGGGCAACCCAAGGGGGTCCAACGGAAAAGAATCCGCTCCGCTTCTATTGCCGGAGGATAGAACGCCCAAGGCTTCCGATGCCACGTGGCTGCTCAGTGGCCATAGGACTAGGGACGGAAAACATCAACACAGGAGCCACATTTGGCTGTTAAGCAACAGCTTGCGGGCCCCGAAGCCCCATCTCCACTCCCTCTTGGAGACCTGCCCGCTCCATGCATCCGGATCATAAAGGGGATTGCGGTTGACAAACAGGGGATCAGCATAACCAGCCCTTCACACGGTAGCGTTGAGTAGTCGGAAGCCACATTTGACATGGGTGCGAGGCGAAGGCACACGGCATCGCCGCCTGACATCCTCCGGAAGTGGGCCTTCTTCTAGATTTTCGGGTCAGCATGAAGCTGGGGCAGAGCAAACCGGGCCCATTTTGGAGTTGAGTTCCATGAATTTGGAGACCGAAGGAAGTTGGATGGATGGGGCCCGTTCTTCGTGCGAGGCTTGGAGCAGACTTTGGGCTTCCAGCGGCGCGGGCCGGGGCCCTCGGGTTGCCTGCGCATGAAACTGGAGAAGCCCTAGCGATGTGGTTTGGATTCCCGTGAGCCCAGAGTGATACTTGGAGCTCCGCCTTTTTGTGTTAATACAAGTGTGTTTTCTCCAACTGGGTGAGGTTCTCAGGCTTTCTGAAGTCCAAAGAATCAGCAGGCGCTCATTTCGACTCGCTTCGACACGTGCCCTTGGCAGTTTAGGGGGATCATCCCGCTGGAAGCTCGAACATCCTCCTTCGGGGCTGAGGTTTGAACTTCTTTGCCAGGCATCCCCTTGAGGTTAGCTTCGTGTTGAAAGAGCTAAGAGCACGTGGTCTCATGGGGCTCAAGCACGGGAAGTTCAGAAAAGGCGAGGTGCCTGACTTGCAGTTTTGTGGAGAATGGTTCCTATTCTCATTCTATGGAAGATTGCTCGTATGTTGATTGAGAGCTTGGGACATTCCACGCTATTCTGACCCACGTTGGCCCATGCCAGTAGTGATGGGGATTCGCTTGGGTTTCTGCTAAAAGACCCCCTGTCCCTCATGTTCCTTGAGGTCGTCGGGATGCATGGACAAAACCATCGTGGCCTCTACAGGGATTTCGAGGGTAGTACGAGCATTCGCTCCCTCAAGACCTGGCACAAAGAGCAGCGATGCCATCAGGTTTGGAAGAGTTAGGCAAGCTTTTCTCGAGGGAGCTGGTGACTCCAATCAGTGCCGAGTCCTGACTTCACTTCACTCTTTGAGCATTCTCAATGCCTCGCCGAGTGGATCCACAGCTCTTTTCCCCAACAGCCGAAGCCCAAGGCAAGAAATGACACCGGAAGTGATTTTCCAAGTGCCAAGACCTGTTGTCCAGCGCCCGTGTTCCTCCGAAGTCCTATTTTGGGCCGGTGATGGGACCGTTGCCCGTGTTTCTTTCGAGAACCTCATCCAGCCTTGCTCATCCAGTTGCCCTTGCGGCTGGCCAGTGCGGTCTCTGAGTTCACCATGGGATGAGGGTCGTTTTGCTATGCTATTTTTTTGAACACAGAGAAAATCGGGTATGTGTCAAAAGCAGGTTAAACAACAGGGCAACATTTCGCAGCCTCCCAACAACGGGCTTGTGCCTTTAGGCTGGCCACTCTCCAGCAGATCTTGGAAGAGCCTGCAGGCCTGCGGCTCAAAGCTGTCAAAGGTGTCGTAAACAAAGGTGTCTGGTTTCCCATTCCAGTACAACGAAGGACAGGCCCATATGATGATGGTCTTTGGGAACTCCTTGTTTCCGGTTGGAAATTGCCTTTGAGATTGAAATACTCTGGTGTGGTGTACCGTTGGCCGGGCTGCCTTGTTTTTGTACACTAGCAGCGTTTGTGGACCTGACAATGGGTCGTTTGCAAAGGTTTGTTTTGTGAGCTTCGGATCCTGTGCGAGTTGCAACATGTCACCCTTGTCGAGATTGTGTATACAGGTGAATCCGCGTAAATCGGTCGCAACATGTTCCAAGCAACTTGCAAAACGGGTTTGGGGGTGGCTCAAAATCCTCACAGAAGCATCCAACGTTTCACCGAGGCCCCGGCAAGGCGCGTCCGGTGCCCGGCCCGGGCTTCGGGGCTTCGTGCTGCGGGGCTCCGTTCCGCAGGCCGCGGATGCGGCTGCGGGCGAGGGCGAGCTGGCGCAGGACCTGGAGGCGTTGTCGAAGTGGCTGGCGCCCAGCTACCTGGACCCCAAGCAGCTGCAGGCCCAGCGCCTTTCGGCAGCGCCTTTGGGCCGTTTTTCTGAGCGCATCTCCCTTTGGGCGCCTAGGGGGGTTGGGGTTTGGTGCCAAGAAACAAATGGATGGCTGCATGTTCCTTGGGGCATTTTTGCATCGGCATGCACCGCATGTTTGATTCTCTGGCTCAAAGTTGCTCTCCGTTTGCGCCGGGCAATCTCCGGCGATGTCAGGAGGAGGGCCAGGGCCACTCGCATCGAATGTCCTGTGGCGAGACAAGCACAAACGGCGTTATCACTTTTGGTTGCACTTGTCGCCAAATAGGGCACGTGATTTTTTGCTTGGCGAAGAATCCCATGTGAAAGTGGTCCCAAAGGTGCTTGTATACAGACTTGAAGCGAAAAACCTTCTGGTATTAGTGTTGCCCTCCATAAGAGATTCGTATGGAGGTCGCGAACAATTTTTCGCGACAGTTTTGTGTAAGGGTGGTTTGCAAAAAGGAAGGCAGTGCGCGCAGAATGCACACAGACAAAAGTTGGTCAGAGGAAAGCACGGCCCGAGGATTTGCGTAAGAATACGTCGGTGCAAAGCAAGCCCCAGCACAAAGCAGCTTGTTAGCGTTTTGAAGCTTTCGAGTCCAGTTGAGAGCGGCTTTCTAGCCACATTTGGGTAATGTTTGGCGCAAGATCCGCCAAGTTTTCGCGAAAGTCGATGGGTCTCCACGCCAGTTTCCGCACCTGTCCCCTCCTGTGCTGCACGGCTTTTGAGCTGCTACGAAAGTGATGCACTTCGTGTGCTACTTTGGAACTTCAAAGTTGCGACTTTCGAGCTGGGGCTGCGGAAGCTTACATCGTGTATTCCTTTCGGATCCGACTTTCGAGGCGGAAGTGCGGAAGCGTACCCGTGTACTACTTGCGTATTGAATGTTGTCAAACGCGAAAGCTCCGCGACCGAGGTCGAAAGTGATTTTTTGCGCGAAGATGGCGATTCCGGGAACAATAAATTCCACACAACCGTCATGTAGATGATGTCCAAAGGTTCCCAATTCAACTTCATACGCTTCCTTCCTGGGAAAAGCTGGCTGACTTCCAAATGAGCATCCATGCTACCGCAAAGCACGCAAATGAGCCTGTTTGGGGGCTTTCCAACACCATTCAATCAGGGCTCACCCCCGTCGACATATCGCGGTCAGGGAACTACGGGTTTTTTCAATACCTCTACGTTTTGTCAATGTTCGGGTGAATGTCTGAAATGGTTTCACTTGGTGAACATGGATTCCCAAGATATGGGTATGGGTCAGAATTAAACCACCACAGGACCGCAGGTTTTAGTCCCTGGTTCCATTTACCAGGGTTCCAATTTGGGTACCTATTTTTGACCCACAGCCATATCCAAGGTCCCCAAATCCACGTTTCGCCAGGACTCGGGTCGAGCGCCTCGCTGCCCAACCTCGGAAGCGAGGCCACAAGGAAGCTGAACTGGGCCGCTCCGCTGCAGTTGGGCCGTTGGGATTTGGGATCGGTTTCCAGGCTAGAAACAGCTGCTATTCGGTTCAGGCCTATCAAACCCACGAACGGGGTTATGAGATATGGGCTACCTTGCTGGCCACCCTTGTCGGGGCTGCATGGAAATCAACAGGAGGCCACCTGTTTGGCCTTCAGCGCTTTCACTTTGGACACCAACCGCTTCCCGTGAGTTGCGCCCAGGAGAAGCTGGGCGCCAGCTGTGCTGAGCCGGGCTGTCGAGAGCCCCAGCCCATAAGGGAAACTCCTGAACACCGTTTCAATTTGAATGTGCGAGGATTCTTTCCGAAGAATCATACTGGGGTATGGTTGCATCGTCATGTCTGGGCTTGCTGCCGTCCCGTTTTGTCTGGCATGCCGGTGCTCTTACGTTAAGAGCCAGCGCCTTACCAATCCCCTTCAGCATGCAAAATGCTTTGTTCAGGCCTCTCCGTTACTGTCTGAGGCATTTCTTGCTCCGCGTATTTCAATTTTGAATGACATGATTTCCTGCATTGATCGTCTCTTTAGTTCCCAGTCTTTCACAGTTTCAGGGCAATTGCGCACCGGAGACCATGACTCACAGAAGGAGGTTTGACATAAGACTCGTGCTCACGTGACTGTGGCGAGTCGACGCTTGAGGCCACGCGCTCCAATCTGCGGGAGCCAAGTGTGCGAGGCTCAGGCGGCAAAGTGAAGACCTCGGGCTGTTTAGGAGGCAGTGGATGGCAGTGGTTTGCGGCGCAAAGTGTCCTCCAATTTGATGAAAGAAAGCTGACTGGAGCTGGGATCAATCGAGACCTGCGGCCAAGGCATATACAGGAAACCCAACTCGTGCCGACCTCAGCGAGAGCTTGAGCCAATCTATGCATTGATTCACGCTAAACAGTTTGAGTTGCAAGGGGGCCTTTCTCGGAATGCATGAATTCGGGGGAATTTGTCCAAACCGGCAGCTTGGTTCATGCAGATGTGTGTTCTGGCTCAGGGAGTACGGCAAGTTCTACGGCGACCCACGCAAGGATGGG